TAATTTTTTTTTTTTTTGAAACAGGGTATCGTTCTGTCGCACAGGCTGGAGTGCAGTGGCACAATCATGGCTCAAGGGACCCTCAAACTCCTGGGGTCAAGCGATCCTCCTGCCTCAGTCTGCAGAGTAGCTGGGACCATAGGTGCATGTCACCATGCCTGGTGAATCTTTCAACTTTTTGTAGAGATGGGGGTCTCACTGTATTTCGCAGGCTGGTTTCAGACTCCTGGGCTCAAGCAGTCTGCCCTCCTTGGCCTCTCAAAGTGCTGGGATTATAAGCGTGAGCCACTGCAACAATTTTGGTGATTGCAACCAACAGTATGATTGAACATGTTCTCTGTCCTTGACATTTCCTGTAAACTAGAAGTTGGATTTAGAGTAGCTGATCAAATTTAGGTTAGGGATTTTGGCAAGACTACTTCATGACTAATGCTTTTCATCAGAGGCACATAATATCTGGTATTTGTCTTTTGAAATCACCCTATTGTCCTTGATAAATGCTTAACTATCTGGTGTATAATATGACGTTCCAGGCTCATCTTGTACATTTCTTTCCCAGGAGCCCAGATCTGGAATCAGCCATTTTTCTAAGGAGCCCTGCTTTCTTTTAGTAAATGGCATTTAGAGATCATATACTGTGTGCAAGAAATGCTTGCTCTTGAATTGATGATGGTTTCTAGAAATAATTTTTTACAAGAAAATACTTTATGGGTTCTTACTAATAGTTCTATTTCAAATTTAGGTAAGACTAAAATGTTTCTAGTTAACTTTATTGATCTTATACCCATACCTGGGATATAAAACATCCCACTTTTCAAAACAACATAATTACTCATTGCTTTATCCTATAATACATGCAAACAGTCTTACTAACTGTATTAGTCTGTTTTCATACTACTGATAAAGACATACCTGAGACTGGGAAGAAAAAGAGGTTTAAAAAGAGGTTTCCACATGGCTGGGGAGGCCTCACAATCATGTGGAAAGCAAGGAGGAGTAAGTCACATCTTACATGAATGGCAGCAGGCAAGAGAGACAGCTTGTGCAGGGAAACTCCCACTTTTAAAACAGTTAGATCTTGTGAGACTCATTCACCATCATGAGAACCACACAGGAAAGACCCGCCCCCATAATTCAATCACCTCCCACTGGGTTCATCCAATGACACATGGGAATTGTGGGAGTTACGATTCAAAATGAGATTTCGATGGGGACACAGCCAAACCATATTATCCCACCCCTGGTCCCTCCTACTCCTAAATCTCATGTTCTCACTTTTCAGAACCAATTGTGCCTTCCTAAAAACAGTCTCCCAGAGTCCTAACTCATTTCAGCATTAACTCAAATGTCCATGGTCCAAAATCTCATCTGAGACAAGTCACATTCCTTTCACCTAGGAGCCTGTAAAAGCAAGTTACTTCCTAGACACAATGGGGGTACAGGCACTGGGTAAATACAGCCATTCCAAATGGGAGAAATTGGCCAAAACAAAGGTGCTACAGTCCCCATACAAGTCCGAAATCCAGCAGGGCAGTTAAGTCTTAAAACTCCACAATGATCTCCTTTGACTCTATGTCTCGCATCCGGGTCACGCTGATGCAAGAAGTGGGTTCCCATGGTCTTGGGCAGCTCAGCCCCTGTGGCTCTGCAGGGCACAGCCTCCCTCCTGGCTGCTTTCATGGGCTGATGTTGAGTGTCTGCAGCTCTTCCAGGCACATGGTGCAAGCTGTCAGTGGATCTACCATTCTGGGGTCTGGAGGACAGTGGCCCACTTCTCGCAGTTCCACTAGGCAGTGCCCCAGTTGGGACTCCGTGTGGGCACTCCAACTCCACATTTCCCTTCCACACTGCCCTAGCAGAGGTTCTCCATGAGGACCCTGTCCCTGCAGCAAACTTCAGCCTGGATATCCAGGCGTTTCCATATATCCTCTGAAATCTAGGCAGAGGTTCCCAAACCTCAATTCTTGACTTCTGTGAACCCACAGGTTGAATATCACATGGAAGCTTCCAAGGCTTGAGGCTGGCACCCTCTGCAGCCATGGCCCGAGCTGTACCTTGGGCCCTTTCAGTCATGGCTGGAGTAGCTGGGATGCAGGGCACCAAGTCTCTAGACTGCACACAGCACGGAGACCCTGCGCCTGGCCCACGAAACCATTTTTTCCTCCTAGGCCTCTGGGCTTGTGATGGGAGGGGCTGCCATGAAGACCTCTGACATGCCCTGGAGACATTTTCCCCATTGTCTTGGAGATTAATATTCGGGTCCTCATACCTTATGCAAATTTCTACAGCCAGCTTAAATGTCTCCTCAGAAAATAGAATTTTCTTTTCTATTACATTGTCAGGCTACAAAGTTTCTGAACCTTTATGCTCTGCTTCCCTTATAAAACTGGATGCATTTAATAGCACCTAAGTCACCTCTTGAATGCTTTGTTGCTTAGACATTTCTTCCACCAGATACCCTAAATCATCTCTCTCAAGTTCAAAGTTCTGCAAATCTCTAGGGCAGGAGCAAAATGCCACCAGTCTCTTTGCTAAAACATAACAAGGGTCACCTTTGCTCCAGTTCCCAACAGATAGAGAAGTTCCTCATCTCTATCTGAGACCACCTCAGCCTGAACCTTATTGTTCATATCACTATCAGCATTTTTGTCAAAGCCATTCAACAAGTCTCTAGAAAGTTCCAAACTTTCCCACATTTTCCTGTCTTCTTCTGAGCCCTCCAAACTGTTCCAGCCTCTATCTGATAACTCAGTTCCAAAGCTGCTTCCACATTTTTGGGTATCTTTCCAGCAGCACCCCATTCTATTGGTACCAATTTACTGTATTCGTCCATTTTCACGCTGCTGATAAAGACATACCCGAGATTGGGAAGAAAAAGAGGTTTAATGGACTTATACTTCCACATGGCTGGGGAGTCCTCCCAATCACAGTGGAAGGCAAGGAGGAACAAGTCACATCTTACGTAGATGGTGGCAGGCAAGAGAGAGAGCTTGTGCAGGGAAACCATTTTTAAAATCATCAGATCTTGTCATTTACTATCATGGGAAGAGCGCAGGAAAGACCCACACCCACAGTTCAGTCACCTCCCACGGGGTTCCTCTCACGACATGTGGGAATTGTGGGAGTTCCGATTCAAGATGATGTCGGGGTGGGGACACAGCCAAGCCGTATCACCAACACTGCCACACTTCTCACTTCATTACTCAAAACAGTTTCACATATTTTAGAAGGTTTTTTGAGTTGGTTGGACTGGGTTTGAGTTTGGTCATGAGGGGATCTCCCATTAGGAATATACAGTGGAATTCCTGAGTGTTAAGGTCATTTGCAATAGTTTCTCACTGTGTAGTTACACCACCAACTTAACAGATTGACTTTTACATTTTGTCAAGTCTAATTTTGTTTTATACTTTTCTAAAGTACTATATCCACAGACTTCCAACATAAATCTATAAAACAAGTTACATTTAGAAAAGTCTAGCTTCTATCCCAATCCTCTCACTCTATTCCCTCTCTCCTCCTATGTGATATACCAGTATATTCATATTTCCCCCCAACGATAGCATACTATCAGAATTTTCTTCACCTGACTTTTTACTCATTAGGTTATATACTGGCGATCACAACATAGAACACAGAAATATGCCTCATTTCCTTTCAAAGCTGCATGGCACTCCATTACGCATAGGCATCCTAGCTTATTTACTCTGTTCCCTATTGAAGGGCATTGAGTTATTTCCAGTCTTTTGCTACTACCAATGTTTCTGTAATAAATAGCCTTATGTATATTGATAAATTTTGGAATTTTTGACTGTGTCTTTTTATCTTTTTTTTTTTTGTAGAGATAGGGTCTTGCTATGCTGCCCAGGCTGGTCTTGAGCTCCTGAGCCCAAGTGATTCTCCTGCTTTAGCCTCCCAAAGTGTTAGGATCACGGGCATGAGCGACCACATCCAGCTGAGAGTGTGTCTTTACGATGAATTCGTAGAAGTGAGATTTCTAGGTCAAAAGGTAAATGTCTATCTAAAATTGCTAGATATTGCTCCTTTGGTCAAGAAACTTACTCTGTTGTGGAAGGAATGATAATGAAGGGGTTGGGAAGTGGAGGAAGCAAACTGAGACCTCCCTGAAGGGCTGACATCATCCTCCTATAGATGAAGGACCCACCTTGACAGGTGGTTTGTTCATACGCAGCTGAGAAGATGAGGGTGCTTTTCACCCTCCCAAATCCTCCCCGAAAGGAGGTGGTGCCACTTCCCCACCCTCAACCTGCTGCCATGCTCTGCCTCACCAGCTCCTTAAAAGGAAGGCAGCAATTAATGTTAAAGCAAAATCAATAAGCCTCATAAACTAAAAAGTGGAAAATAACCTAGCAACTGATTACCATCCAATTTCAGTCAGTTCACTCCCTCAGGAAAGCAAATTGCAATCAGGAGATGGTGCCATGTGACCTGCAGCAGCACGTTTGCAGAGGACGACCCAGGGTTGAATGGGCCACCTCCCTTAGCTGGAAAGATGGCAGGTCACATCTCTCAGCACTGCTTTTTCAGCTTCTGATGACACTGAGGATCTCCTGGAGAGGTCTGTGACAGCAGAGCAAGGAGTTTTGATTTCTGAGTGTTCCCCTGCAGCAAGGGCCTGCCCTGTTGGCCATGGGCACTGTCTGGTAAAGTGCAGATCTGCCAGGCTCCTTGATACGCTTGTTCCAGCGAACTGATGGCACTGTCTCTGATGCCTCCACCAGATTTTGCCATTGTCTACCTTGGATTGTCACCCTGTATGGACAGGCCTGGCTTTGCATACAAAGCTATACATTGTGGGGGATGGGCCAGAGTGGTGGAAAAACTATAGAGAAAGGACGCAAATCTTCTGAAAGGTCAGAAGGTTCTGTAGAGCCTCGGGGAAGAATAGCAGAAGGCAGCTGTTCTATAACCTTGGGGCAGAGGGCAAGGAGTAGTACAAGGCAGTGTGGGGGAATTTATCTTAAACAGGCTTGTTTACTTACGTTGACCAGGAACTGACCATTGATCATCCATGTGCATCGTGTTCCCTGAAAGGGGAATGATAAATGTTAATTACCTGCAGGTTGTGTTGGCTCCAGGTTTTCATCATTGTGCCTGCACTGAAGAAAAGCAAAGCAGCTCCAGCTCTCAGGCTGCTCTCTGGACACAAGAGCCAGGCAGTCGCCTAGCTGCTCTTATACCGCATACCTCTGTCTGAGTACTCATTTCATCCGTCAGCCATGATCTGTGGGACAGACCTAGCAATACATGTCCTGAAGATGGGATTCCTATCAGCATCACCTCTGGATCCCCAGGAACCCTGGTGCTGATACCAGGGTTTACCACCAGCTGGTAAAACTAGGGCAGCCTAAAAATGGGAATCCCTTCCAAGGCTTTTGTGAGGATTTACAGACGCAGAGCTGTGGTATGGAGCCCTTCGTAAAGTATCAAGTCAAATACAGATGCTCCTTGACTTAAGGTGGGGTTACATCCACCAGACCTCAGGGCATCTGCCCACCTGAGCCTCCCAAAGTGCTGGGATTACAGGTGTGAGCCGCTGGGGCCGGCCAAGTATTCCCAATCTTATTCACTGAGAAGAAAACGGCTTCTGTCCTTCCTGTGGAAGATAGCCATAAAGGGGGAAGAAAAAGGATGAGGGGGCTTCTGATAATACAGGCTCACGCTTGTAATCCTGGCTCTTAGGGAGGAGGAGGTGGGAGGATAGCTTGAGCCCAGGAGTTTGAGACCTGCCTGGGCAATACAGCAAGACCCCGTTCTCCACAGAAAGGAAAAAAAAAAAAGAAAAAGAAAAAAAATAACCAAGCAAGTGTAAGATGGGGTTACATCCCTGCAAACCCATCGTCAACTGAAAATATCATTAAGTCAATCACCATTAACTCGGGGACTGTCTGTGCAGGTGTTGTTATTATCAGAGTAAGCACTGGATAAATGTTTAACACATGAGCAAATAAATAGTGGCGTGGACAAAAAAGGATGATGAGAATAAATGTCCTCGAGGCCAGGCATGGTGGCTCACGCCTGTAATCTCAGCACTTTGGGAGACTGAGGTGGACAGATCGCTTGAGGTCAGGAGCTTGAGACCAGCCTGGCCAAAATGATGAAACCTCATCTCTACTAAAAATACGAAAATTTAGCTGGGCATGGTGGTGCAAGCCTCTAGTCCCAGCTACTCGGGAGGCTGAGGCAGGAGAATCACTTGAACCAGGGAGGTGGAGGTTGCAGTGAGCTGAGATCGCGCCACTGCACTCCAGCTTAGGTGAAAGAGCAAGACTCTGCCTCAAAAAAAAAGAGTAAGTGTCCCGGGAGTTTCAATTAGTAGAAGCGGGTGGTCGGGGCGGGGGGCGGGGGTACTGAAGTAGAGTGATTGGAGGACGGTTGGGTTTGGAAGGATTTGGAGATGTTGGCATATGGGAGGAGGAACATTTCTAGGAAGGGAAAAATTACATTCGCATTCAGTGTAGCAACAAGCACTGTTTATTTGCGGCAACATTCTGACCAGAGGAGTCCTCTAAGTAAGTTGTGAGAAACAGTACAAAGGTGACTAAATGATCACTAACACCAGTTGTGTCACTTTGTGCTGAGTGACCTCCTTTCATCCTCATGACAGCCTCATAAGACGGTATTATCACAACTCAAATGATAGATGAGGAATCTGAGGCACAACAAAGTTCATTAACTTACCTGCAGGAGAGGGAGAGGCAAACCACAGAAGAGCCGTTAATGCCCAACTAGGAATTTGAGCAACCACAGTCAGAAGGGAGCCATTGAAGAGACTTGAGCACAGGAGTGACATGGTCATATTGGTGCTTCAGAGAAACGCAATATGGTATAGTAGTTGGGAGTTTGGATTTTGGCACCAGACCACTTGGTTCTTCTAAAATCCCAGTTCTGGCCAGGCGCAGTGGCTTACCCCTTTAATCCCAGCACTTTGGGAGGCTGAGGTGGGCAGATCACCTGAGGTTGGGAGTTCGAGGCCAACATGGCAAAACCCCGTCTCTACTAAAAATACAAAAATTAGCCGCACATGGTGGCAGGCACCTGTAATCCCAGCTACTTGGGGGCTGAGGCAGGAGAATTGCTTGAACCTGGGAGGCGGAGGCTGCAGTGAGGTGAGATCGCACCACTGCATTCCAGCCTGGGTGACAGAGCAAGACTCTATCTCAAAAAAATGATAAATAAATAAATAAAATCTCAGTTCTGCTCCTTGCTTGCTGTGAGATCTTACAAATATTATTTAACTGCACTGAGCCTCAGTTTCTTCATCTATAAAATGGGGATAATAAAGGCATCCAGCTTATGGGGTCTTTTAAGGGAATAAAATAACACATGTAGAACACAGTACAGTGATGCCATGTACGTGTATGGCAACTGTAAGTTATCAATGTAAGCTATCTACCAGGTGGCCTGGAGAGAGGTCAAAGGTAGGGGATAGCAGGAGGCATGGACTGAAGGCTAGGGTGGAATAGAGAGTAAGATATTTTAAAGTAAGCCTCAACAGGATTCATTACTTGCACACATGGGAGAAGAAAAACACTTAAGAATGACTCTCAGATTCCCAATCTTTTCTTTTTTCTTTACTTATTTGCCCTTTTCTTTTAGTCTCTCAAGATTCCCAATCTTTTTATTTATTATTATTATTATTATCATTTTGAGACGGAGCTTCACTCTTATGGCCCAGGCTGGAGTGCAGTGGCACAATCTCGGCTCACTGCAACCTCCGCCTCCCAGGTTCAAGCAATTCTCCTGCCTCAGCCTACTGAGTAGTTGGGATTACAGGCATGCGCCACCACGCCCGGCTAGTTTGGTATTTTTAGTAGAGATGAGGTTTCATCATGTTGGCCAGGCTGGTCTCGAACTCCTGACCTCAGGGGATCTGCCCACCTTGGCTCCCAAAGTGTTGGGATTACAGGCGTGAGCCACTGCACCCGGCCAAGATTCCCAATCTTATTCCCTGAGAAGAAAAGGGCTTCTGTCCTTCCTGTAGAATATAGATAGCCATAAAGGGGGAAGAAAAAAAAAAGGATGAGGGGGCTTCTGATAGAAACGCGAAAACTCGGAGAGAAGCTAGTTTTTTGGAGCGAGATCACACTTTGGGAGGGTGTGTGTATGTGGGGTGGGGGGGGGTGTCAAAAGGATCCTGGGTTCTATTGTCAGCTCTGCCACCAGTTGGCTGTGTCCCTTGCCAAAAACCTCTTTCCTTTTCTGGACTTCAGTTTTTAGTCAGTGAAATTAAGCTTTTACACTTGAGATCTTAGAATTCTCTCCCAACTCAGATGTTCTCCAGTTTCACCTGAACACTATATAGCACTTGAAAGGGATGATGGTGCTAACAGCCTGGCTCTTAGGAGCCTTCTTAGTAAAAAAAAAAAAAAAAAAAAAAAAAAAAAAAAAGAAAAAGAAAAAAATTTATTTAATTTTAATTTATTTTCTTTTTTCCCTTTTTGAGACAGAGTCTCACTGTCACTCAGGCTGGAGTGCAGTAATGCGATCTTGGCTCACTGTAATCTTTGCCTTCCAGGCTCAGGTGATCCTCCCACCTCAGCCTCCAAGTAGCTAGGACTACAGGTGTGCACCACCATGCCTGGCTAATTTTTGTATTTTTTGTAGAGATGGGATTTTGCCATGTTGCCCAGGCTGGTCTCGAACTCCTGAGCTCAAGTGAGCTGCCCGCCTTGGCCTCCCAAAGTGTTGGGATTATAGGCGTGAGTCACCGCACCTCGCCTGTAAAAAAAAAAAAAAAAAAAAAAAAAAATTAAAGTAGAAAAGGAGGGTTTCACTACGTTGCCCAGGCTAGTCTTAAACTCCTGGCCTCAAGTGATCCTCCTGCCTCAGCCTCCCAACGCACTGGGATTACAGACACGAGCCATTGTACTCAGGCCTTTTCTTGAGGTTCAGGGGGAGGTGATGTGAAGAGGAAGCAATATGAGAAGAGGAAACCTCCTTCTTCTTTCTTCCTGCTCCCTTAAATGTTGGACCTCAGGCCCTGCAAGAGACCCCTTGGCGAGGCTCTCCAAAACAACCTCTGCATGGATCCTCCCATGGGTGACTCAAGAGATTCTGGGAACTGGTGCCAGAGAAAGTCAAGTGCAATGTTTATTTTATTTAGCCGCACTCTCTTCCACTTGATTGGTTCCTGACTGGGCTTTTGTTTTTCTACCAGATTAGAGAAGAAAGGGAAGGTTGTTTTAAAAAGTTCACTATCCTTAGCAACAGTGAAACCAGACCCCTTGGTGGTGGCTGGGGCCCAGCAGAGCTTGTGTTTACCCAGAGGGTGCACTTGGGGGTAGGCGGTGGAGTGCCACCTGCCCAGGTGTGTGGCCTGCACCTGGCCTCAGGCAGGTGTTTAGCACCTTCCACTTAGCACAGCCTGAAGGAGAATGGGCACACACTCTTCTGGGAAGACCTGCATTTTGAAATAGAGTTTTACATAAAACAGAACAACCCGGGCCGAAGAATGCGCGTGCCGAATGCATACCAACACCTGAACACATTTGATCCGAGGAAATGAACCCCTTGGAGGAGTTTTGGTTTTTTTTTCCAAATAAAATACCAATTATGTAACACAGCTAAACAGTACCACAGAGATGGTGTCCTCTCTCTCTTGTTTTGTTTTTATGTTTATTTATTTTTTAATTTTTGAGGCAAGGTCTCACTCTTGCTCAGGCTGGAGTGCAGTGGTGCATTCATAGCTCACTGCGGCCTCAAACTTCTAGGCTCACATGATCCTCCTGCCTCAGTCTCTCAAATAGCTGGGACTACAGGTGCACACCACCGTGCCTGGCTAATTACTTTTTGGTAGAGATGGGGGTCTCCCTACGTTGCACAGGCTGGTCTCAAACTCTTGGCTTCAAGCGATCTGCTGGCCTCGGCCTCCCAAAATGATGGGATGGCAGGTGTGAGCCATCATGCCTGGCCTTCCCCTTTCTTATGAGCTGGCACCTGGGGCTAGATCATTTCCCTCAGGCATTGACAACATGTAAGAATTAAACTAAGGGATTCAAAATTAATTCTAACATATAGTGACTCA